TAGAGTGAAGTAATTCCTGCTCAAACTTCATAGTGTGGGCAGAAAACCTTTAAATAGCTTTACCCTTATGATTGTTTCTTCATGACTTTCATTCATTCATTCATTTGGTTTTTTGAGACAGGGTTTCTCTGTGACTGGAGGCTGTCCTGGAACTCGCTCTGTAGATCAAGCTGGCCTCGAACTCACAGACATCTGCCTGCCTCTGCCTCCTGAGTGCTGGGATTAAAGTCATGCGCCTCCACTGCCCGGCTCTTCATGACATTCTTAAAAGTTTACAACCTAGAGATATACTTTGCATTTGATCTTTTACAGAGTATAGGCATGTAGGTTCTTCATTAATTTGGATTTAGGAGTCAAAAGTACAATTTTCTTTGCATTTCAGTAGAATTCTTTGAATTCATCTGTTCATGTCACAACCACGGTATCCCAGAACATAAGCATTGATGCAGGAGTGACTCTGTTGGTGATGTGTTTTGCAACATACAGTTGCCAAAATTTCTTTTCCTTGTGGCTGTAGTTTTTAATAATTGTTCTGACAGTATTAAATATTTTAGTAAAAGATATGGTAAATGCTCATTTTTATTCAAACAGCTGATAAAATCCAGGTTGGAATTTCAATCTCTAAACCGTGCTCAAGAATACACAAAGCTCTGCCAGATTAAAAAAATTGTTAATAAATTTTTAAATACCATTTTTAATTGTCTAACCTGCTTTTCTCTAGAAAATAGTTGCATTTTGAATGAAGTCCATGGTGATAAACACAAAACATCAAATAGACAGTGAAAGAAGAGTAGAGAATAGTTGTGTTACTCTTTTTCTAATGCCATCAAAAGAAAAGGCTGTTTTGGTGTTCTAGAGATCAAATTCAGGGCATGATAAGCGAGTGTTCTACTGAGCTTAATCTCCAACCCCAGAAAAAGAATTTAAAATAGTTACGTAATCTGTTTTGGTTGGAATATTTTCCTGGGTTATCTACCCGATGGTTTTATTTAACTAGAAATAGGAAGACTTGAATGTAATATAGTATGATTGTGGTTTAAGTAATTAAAGGTTTGCATTGTAGTTTTACATTCTATAAATAATGAATACTTACAATGTGCATTATTGGAGTTAATGCAATACATCTTTTATTCGGTGCTCTGTAAAGCATGATTCTTAGCAGTTTTAGGTAGGATGGAGGCATAGTCACATGCATCCAGGCTGATCTGGACCCCCTTTATTATCTATGGGAGACAACATGCTGGACATGAAGTTCAATGCCTGTGCCTGCAAGGAAAGGAAAGGGTACTACCAACCACGCTGCATCGCAGTCTCTCTTCTTAAGTCACTTTTTTTAAAGTAAACTTATAAAAGTTCCTGATACTTTTGAAATCATGTAATGTCCAAATATTTTCATTCCAAAGATTCATTTAAAGAAGCATTAAGCAGGAAAATTTAGAAATTATACATAAAATTGCTGTGGTAGACTGAAAGGGCTATAGTAATTTTTAGCACAAGCTCTTAATTGGTGGTAATAATAAGTACTCGAAGGCAGATAATTGGGTTTAATGCTGAAGATCAGAGAAGCAAAGCAGCCAGCCACTAGTGAGGTCTTAACCTTTACCAAGACTCAAACCAAGGGGGCGATCCTGTCCTCAGGATGCATCCTAAGGCTGCTTAGACTGCACTGCTCCTCACCTACCAGAGGAAGTGGGTGATAATTAAACTAATGAATGTTTGCTTTACTTTACCAGTCCTCACCTTAGCTTTAGAAAGCTGAAGTCATCCAAAGGTGGGAAAGAGAGGCAAATGTCTGGTTGCAACTTAGCAGCTGGAAGGAATCAACTTCAGGGAGCTAAACTTGGGTCAGGTAAAAAGGCTTCCCATAGGAAGTTCAGATAATACCCAAAACCAGCAATAGTTCTGTAGGGGAGAATAGTCATAGAAAAGGCTTGTTATTAGTCTGTGGTAATAGATATGAGTCCCACTTGTTTTTATATGGTATGTTGATAAGTACACTGATCCTATCTCTTCATTCGCTCTCCCTTTTCTATTTTCATGGTGTGTGTGTGTGTGTGTGTGTGTGTGTGTGTAAAGCCTTTCTCCAAGTTGCTTACAGGGTTATGGTTGTTTACAGGATTATGGGTAGCTATACTACTGAAGAAAACAGCCCTCTTGCAACCATTAAAGAGCTTAGTTAACTGAGAGTGGCGGAGCCTCATGCACCCTTCCCCACCCAAGATGGATGGAATGTCTCCTCACTCAATCCTTTGCAGGCAGTCACTGCTGCCAAAAAAATTCATAGCTTCAGTAGCCATGCAGTACCTAAAAGATAACACCTACTCCTTTCTCACTTCTTCCTGCCTCTTCTCTTTATTCCCTGAGCCTGCGTGTGCATGTGAAATGCAGATCCTAAAAGGCATTTCCCCCTACACACCAACAGTCATAATCTCAGCAGTTGAATTAGTTGGGTCTTGCTGTAGTAATGGAGTCCCATTGTAAAAAGAAGCTTCTCTAACCGAAGCTGACAGCAGCACTCACGTACTAGAATAAAAATATTTAGAAGGCATTTTGATGTATACAATATGGCCACTTAGTAAATGGCAGTAGTCACTTGCACTATATACTGTGGCCATCCCAGCTATGAGCTTTTGACATCGATTTACAGTGTCAGCCATGAATTCCCTCCTGTGGAGCAGTCCTCAAATCCAATAAGGTTGGTTACCTCCATAACTCATGCCAGTGTTGCACTGGTGTGTGTGTGCATCGGCCCTAGCAGTCAGTAGTGAAACATTCAACATCCACAGCTAAGTAAAACTGTAGGTGGTGATCCTCCTCGGCAGTCTTCATGACACTTTTCAACACATAGAAAGCTAGCTAGTAGGGAGCAAGCCTCTAGCCCAGTTTCAACTTAGTATCTAAGTCCTGCAATAACAACAAACTGTGTCTTCAGCAATAAGATGTTAATCTACTTCCAGTGGGCAACCAACAGCAGTTTAGGGGGACCCAGGGACTTCTCTAACCAAAAAGTCCTGTGTAGATAGCCCACCTCTGGCATTGGGGGACTTTGATTTAATAAATGGTTTCTGGGAGAAGCTTTAGCCACTCAGAAAATATATTCATAAAAACATGACTAAGGGGATCAAATACAGTGCATTTGAAACACAAAGGCATTATGACTCTTTTGTAAAGATGTAAACCAAGTTTCAGATGAGAATTTAACCAAGAAGGATGAGAGTCTGGAGGTTAAGGGTAAAAGGAATTCTCCATTTAATCTAGGTAGGATAGTTTATGTCATCAATTTGAAGACACTGCCTGCCATAGAGGGAGAAAGATTATGTGTCCAAAGTGAAAGAGAATGTTTCTCATCTGGGGATGAGAATGATTACGGTTTTTTCTTTGTTAAAAATGTATATGTCTGAGATAGGTATCACATACTGTCAAAGCTGGTTTCAAACTCAATTGAAAAGATAATTCTGTCTCAGCCACTCAAGTAGCAAGTACCTAGGACCGCAAATTCATGCCACCATTCTAAGTTTGTTTATATCTTAAAAGGTTTCTTTGTAAAATGATTTTGTTAGTGTTTATATGAGCTACAGGCATGCAGAAGCCCATGGAAGCCAAAAGAGGGCATGAGATAGAGTGGAATTGGTGGTTGTGAGCCATCATATAGGTGCTAGGGACTGAATCTAGGTCTTTTGCCAGAACAGTAATTACTTTTAAGTGCTAAGCTGTCCCTCCAGCCTCCCCTCTAGTTATGAAAGCCAAAGAAGGTTAAGCATATGCAGACAGAAAATACATATTTACAATTTTAAGTTTTTTTAAAAAAACATTTTGCTGTGTTGCTTAAGCTGTCCTTGAACTCTGAGACTCAAGTAGCCCTTGTGCTAATATTACAGGTGTGTACCATTGAAGACTTTGGGATTTTTCAATGTAGCAGAAAAATAGGAAAGCAATTTGCAAAGCAGGAGAAACAAAGGGAAGGCAGAGACTTAGTAGTAGCATGAGCAATTGAGGTGAGGAAGCAACCACTCTGATTGGAATTAAGGCCTTGAGATGGATTCCATGTCTTGACACCCCTCAGGTGGCCAAGAACCTAAGGCTGGATATGCCATAGGTGTCGGGGAAAATTAAATAATATTCTGCTAAAGAAACAAAGCAATAAAGTGACTCCTAATGGTGTTCTGGTGTACTCATAGGTCAATGTTATGCTCAGCCATCATCAGAGAACCATTTTTCTTGGCAGTAGGTGAGAACACAGAACCAACTAAACAATGTGCAGAGACTTTGACACATTGCCCTAAATGGGATGTCTTCATCAAACCCCTCCCCTCAGGTTTCGGGAGCTATGTGGAAAAAGGAGCTAAAAGAGTCGGGATGGATGAAATAGTGTCCTTCAGACACAATAGGACTGATGCACATATGAATTCAGACCGGCAGTGTCTTGGGATTTCTGTTGCGGTGAAGATACATCATGACCACAGCAACTCTTACAAAGGAAAACATTTAATTGGGTAGCTTAAAGTTGCTACGTTCATTGTGGTGTAACATGATGTGTAGGGTAGACATGGTGCTGGAGAGGTAGCTGACAGTCCTATATCTTGCAAGCAACAAGGAGTAGTCTGAGTCTCTGAGTATGTCTTGAGTGTATATGAGATCTCAAAGCCCACCTCCACAGTGACATACTTCCTCTAGCAAGGCCACACCCCAACAAAGCCCCAACTAGTAGTGCTACTCCCTTTGAGGTCTATTTTCTTTCAAATCATCACAGGCAGCCTGCATGGTGTCTGCACAGGTGCGAACTAGGTAGGAGATTCTACCATTGATCAAGAAGGTATATGCAGCTGACTCCTGCCTTGCTAGATAAGTCAAATTGACATTAGCTGGAGTCACTTCAGAGGAGGGTGCCTCAACTAAGAAAATGCCTCCATCAGATGGGGTTATAGGCAAACCTGTAGGGCATTTTCCTAATTAGTAGAATTCATGGTCTTGAGTTTTATAAGAAAGCAGGTTGAGCAAGCCATGGGGAACAAGCCTGTAAGCAACAATCCCCGTGGGCTACATCAGCTCCTGCCCTGAGGCATCCAAGTTCCTGCCTGGTTTGAGTTCCTGTCTTGACTCCTTTCCAGGATGAACACCCATAACATAAGTGTAAGTCAAATAAACCCTTTCCTCCCCAACTTGCTTTTTGGTCATTGTGTTTCATCATAGCAGTAGTAATTCTAAGATGCAGCGGAGAACATAGTTTTCCTCCCTGGAATCTCATATTAACCACTCTTAAGGGCAAGACTCATGCCCAGTAGTAGATGACCAACACAAAATGAACCTAATGGTGCATTTCTACTTTTGGGCATTTTTTTTTTTGGTCTTACTGGTCTTGCTTGTTTTATTGTTTACTGAAGTAAGAGAAAGGGTATGGAGTTGAATGGGTGGGGAGGATCTGGAAGGACTGGGGAAGGAAAAGTATTGCTCAGAAAACATTGCAAAAATTTTTAACAAAAAGTACATTCTTTGACAATTTTATGTATGAATAACATGTATTGTGGTTTTTATAACCCCCTTCCTTAATCTTCCCACCTCTGTTGACCTCTCTTCCCTAAAAGTCCTTCCCACATTTACAATTTTTCTGTCTTTTTTTGAAGGAGGAATGTAGTTTGCTGTTTAGTTCACTTTCCATGATTTCTGACCCACCTCACACACTTTTTCCTGTCCTTTCCTGTTACACTTGTCCAGTCTCTTGTCTTGCATTTCTCTGTTTGGACACTTTTCTGTCTCACTGATCTTTTGCTTGTATTTTACAGTTTCCAGTTTTGTCTTTTAAATCCACCTCCCCCGTGTGTGTGCATATGCACACAAATTTCTTGTGATTTCCCTTTAAAAAAAGTTGTTTTAGAATTCCAGACATGGTTTTTAGCTATCTCACTGATTTAGAGGACCCTGGTTCCTCCAGAATTGGGTACCCTAAATGTGGCAAAATACTGCTATGACCTGAGTTTTAGGATTATTAGTGGGAATAATAATTTCAGTAATAAATTATTAGTGAAATATGTATATTAAGTTTTAAAAAACTTGAATTTGCTAATGTGGAAAACGTTTCTACAGTTTACATATATATTGCTTTGATGTGTTTTTCCTCCAGTGAGCATGTTTTCATGGCATTAGTAAGAGAATGTGTGGTGTGTGTGTGTGTGTGTGTACAAATTTCTTGTGCTTTTTCTTTTTTAAAAAAAAGCTATTTTGTTTGCCTGTTTTCTTAAGAGAGAGACAGAAAAGTAGGGAGGATAGGGGAAGACTTGTAGGAGGGAAAACTATGATCAGAATATATTGTAGGAAATAAATTTAATTAAAAAGTTCAGCCTCAACTGTACCCCTGTTCTGTGAGTCTTCTATTTCAGACTCATCAGGATCTCTTGAGTCTTTCCTGCCAAGCACAAAACTGCACTATAATCTGAGGAAGTCAGAGGTCTATCCCTGTCAGTGGGTTCCTGAGGCCCAGGGCACAGATTCCATCAGAACTAGACTCGAACACTTCTATTTCCTATTTGAACTCCTCAGACTAGAGGATATGCAGGCATTTTCCTACCCTTCCCATTATGTGATCCTTCTGTGCTCTCTTCATTTTTTCCCTAATCTCTTATTTAAGGAAGAAACTTCTCATGAATATTCATGCAAATAAATACTCAAAGGACTAGCAAGAAACATGAAATGACTAAAATGGGAAGGGTTTTTAAGAGAGACAGAGGGAGGGAGAGGGAGAGGGGACAGACAAACAGAATCTTTGAAAGACTCTTGTGTGTGGTAAGAAGTTTGAATTTCATCCTGAGATTTGGGGAGTCACTGCAACTCTTTGAAACTTAGGAAAGAATGGGATAGAATGGAATGATCTGAAGAATCATTCTGTTTTTGTTAAAAATGATCATTGCAGTGGTGAGAAGGATGCAGCAGAGGCGTCTTAGGCTCTTTAGGGAAGTCTGAGTTGAGCAGTAGAGTTGCTGGTTATGCGGTATCCAGAAATCATGGGACAGGAAGCCAACTTGCATGACAAAAGAATGAGTTGACTTAGTTTCTGACATATTACTCTGTGACACTGCGGAGTTTCAGAATAGAAACATCCAAAGGACATGTCTACAGCAGTCTGGGCTGAAGACAGATCTGGTGACCATATCTATGGGTGAGATTGTGTGGGGTGCACATGTAGCAGACTAGGAATAGAAGCCTGGTGAATTCCGCAAGGGCTAAAGGAAGAAAACATGTATGTGGAGTGGATAAAGACTTTGTAGCAGAAACGAAGTGTGGACTGGTGTCTCTCTACCCACCAGGTCCTGACAGCTGCTTATGAAATAACCACTCAGATACATAATATATATTTATAATTGTTTGGCAATTGTCTTAGGCTTCTGCCTGGATAGCTCCCTCTTAATCATTAAGTCATCATTAATAATCTATGTATTACCACATGGCCCTGGCTTACCGATGATGCTCAGATCTTTTGACCCCCCCCGGTGGCTACATGGTGTCTGCCTTTTGTCTTCCTTTTCTCTGTCTCTTTGTTCAGAATTCCTGACTAGCTAAATTCTGTCTGTCCATTGGCTGAAACAGCTTTCTTTATTCATCAATCAGTAAGAGAAACACATAGTCACAACACACAGGGGACATCCCCATCACAGTAGTGTCCAGTAAGTCAAGGAAGGAGGGAACATTATAAGTGATTGCTTAGCAAGTCAGGTACTGAAGAGGAGGCTTGGAGACAGTGTAACTGCATACACACAGGACACTTCTTAGGGCCAGAACTGAATTCTTCATTTTCTTTTTCTGCTGTTCCTACTCTGTTCTGTTCTTTCACCCTGATGTTTTCCTTCTTCTTTTTTTCTATTTCTCTTAATTTTTTTATCTGTTTTATTTTGGTGATACATTGCTTGTACAAATAAAGCTTGTCTGAAGATCAGAGGATGGAGCTTGCCACTTGCTAACCATAGAGGTCTTGAGGTCTGTACAGACAGACAGGAAGTGAGATGGCTGGGTGGAAACAGGAAGTGAGATGGCTGGGTAAAGAGGATATAAGTGGGAAGAAACAGGAGTTAGCTCACTTTTCTACTGGAAGCTAATAAGGTAAAAGTGGCTTTGACTTGCTCTATGTGATCTCAGCATTTTCCTCTATATCTGGCTCTGGGTTTTTATTATTTAGATCAATTAAGAACTCCATTTATATTTTATACCTCCTAAAACAAAAATTTCTATGCAAGAAAAGATTATCACACAACATAGTTTCCAAAATCAAATTAAAATCTTTAGAGAGGAAGAAATCACATTATGATCATAAGTTACATGTTTTTCCTAGAAACCCACAAGTAGTTAAACATTGTACTTTGTATTAATTTTCCCACCTTAACATTTTCACACCAAAGAAATGATTCTTTCATAATTTAATAAAGTTTGAAGCAAGCCAAGTATATTTCAGCTAGTTCCTTTTGTATTGGCAGATCTGTTTGCAGTTACAAAGAAGGGTCAACCATTTTATTATTTATATCAAAAGGTAATCCTATAAAAATCTTAAAAGAATCATAAATGTAAGCTATCATATATAAAAAACAATCATTCATTTCTACTTTAAGTCCTCAGAGTACACACCTACTCTTCAACAGTTTTTTATTAAATTATACCAGGAAGCTGAGGGTAAAAATGAGTACACAAAATTAATCATCACCTTTGATCACCAACCCATCTTCACCAATAAAGGCACCTCAGCTAATAATAACCAGGATGCTTTTGTTCTTATTCCTTTACTTTAATTATTCCTCACTCAAATAACAAAAGTGTGCCTTTCTAAACTTTAAAAATGTTCCCAAAGATTTTCTGCATCAAAGCCACTAACAAAATCATTCTCAATCTAACTTTACTAACAATCTACATCCCTAAAATTGGTGAATGAATCATTAATCTGTTCCAGCAGCAATGCTTGGAAAGTATCAGTCACTATTATTTTAAGTACCAGTGATACCCTCTTAGCAATAGAAACCCTCTTTGAGTTTTCAAATAATTCACAAATTATGAAGGACATGGTGACCTTGAAGGCAATAAAGTCAGTAACACCATGAGGTCTTCTGCCTCTCTAAGGTACTCCCATTGTGTCTATGTTAATCACAACTACTTTTCATGAGTACAAAGCTATTTTCTGTTCATCTCACATGGCTCATGACAGTGGCTTGTTTTAGTAAGATGTCAAATTTGATCAAGATGGCCAGAGTCTACATATCTGGAAATGTGTAAGCTCCATAGGTAACAGAATGATGATGTAGGATGAAGAGGAACTGGGAGAAGGTAAGAGTAAAAGTTGGAAATGATGTATGTGCACAGTCAAGGGAAGGTAACATTTAAGCTGGTGGCTCAATGGTTGTGGGTAAAAGAAGAGTAGCATTTAGGATGATGGGTACAGTTGGATAGATGTTTGTGAACATTCTTTACAGAATGAAGGAAAAAAGGATGGAAGGAGGAATGATGACTGAATGCTTTTGTTTATAATCGGTGAACCACTCATGTTGCGTTGTGAAAAGGGATGTTAGACAAAGGCTATAAAAAAAAACAGCTATAAATAAATGATGGCCAAAGCCGCATCTTTTAAGACATGTTCGGACATGATTGAATGGTTTCTTATTGGTAGTGTAAAGAAAATTTCTGGATCAGGAATTCAGTTATGCAGGCCAGGTGGTGGTGGTACCCACCTTTAATCCCAGCATTTGGGAGGCAGAGGCCGAGGCAGATGGATCTCTGTGAGTTCGAGGCCAGCCTGGTCTACAGCATGAGTTTCGGGACAGCTACGGCTGTTACACAGAGAAACCGTCTCGAAAACCAAAACCAAAATAAATTCATTTATGCTAGGTGTCCCCTAAATAGTTGGATTTTCACATGAACAAGCAGGCAGTCCTTGTATTTGGATATTCAGATTCATGCTTCCTTTAAACAGTACCAGCCCCTCCTCCATCATGTTATTTCTTGTTTTAAAACTTGTCAGATCACTAGCCCTATTTTATTCTATTTAAAAATACTTTATACACACACGCACACGTGCACATGCACACACACAAACACACACACAGGGAGGGAGGGAGGGAGGGAGGGAGGGAGGGAGGGAGGGAGAGAGCAAAGCATGTAGT